GGCACAAATCCTAAGGATTTAAAATATTATTTAGTATGTATTATATTCATTATTTAAATTAACAGTCTGCATTTATTATAAACTGACAAGTTATGAAATAATTATATTTAATCGTAATCAGTAATATTATCTAAATATATTTCTATAACCATTAATATCACTTAAATGGTTTAGGACCCAGATGCACATAGAACAAAATGAATAATAATTTTATAAGATAAAAATGTTACATGCTTATATTAATTCTGATTGATACCATAACAATCATTGTGATTATTATTTTTAATACATTTAAATAATACTCACAATAAACTTTTTTTTGGACATATCTGAGTTTACAAGCTGTTCTATATGATGCAAAACGTATCATATCATAATTCTGACATCTCATTTCTTGTATAAGTTGTAAACGATAGTCTGTAGTTATTCTTCTATCGGCAGTCATGCTATAAGTATTTTAAGAAAAAATAATTTTCAACAAAATAATAGCCATATTATTATTATGTACATACATAAAAAGTAAAATAAAAAATAAATTGGTTTTAACTGGAAGAAAATTGATCTCAACTATGATGAAATTGGTTGTATTTTTATTTTTTTTTTAAATACAGTCATAAAATAAAGTTAATTTATTAAACTACAACTTACATGGTCTTATGTATTGATCAATGTATTAAAATAACTCAATCACAAAAAGTACTAATAACATAAAATACTGAATTTAATCTGATAATCCATATTCAACACGAGCTAACACAGTCGGGTGTCTTAAACTGACCTAAGACTGAACTGAATCACTGAATGAGGTATAAYTGCCAAAATGCTAAATAGTAAATTAAAAAACTTAAATAATAGTTATTAATGTTATTATTTATATTATACAACATGTCATTATCCGCCCACGATTTTATCAGACTATAATCAAAACCACTATCAAAACATTCAACAGTGATGTAGACACTATCTTTATTCTACAACTAGATAGTCGTATTATTCTGTGATTATGGTGAATTTTTCATTATCATTAAAAAATAAACGCTCATCCGTATATCATGGAACAAAAATATCATATCCATACGGCTTGGAGAAAACGGAAAATTACAATATCATTGGTCGCCCAATTTATAAAAAAAAATATAATTATATTTACATTTTTATTTAATATTAGGCAGTTGTTATTTTCACSTCCAACGTGAAAGTATTTGTTTTCACGTCCTGCTCTGTGATTGGTCGTAATATTGATAAGGATACCCGCGTAATTTTGAATTATTGATTTTATTTAATTAATAAAATAATTACGTAACCAGAGGGAGGGGTCCATGGGGATCGRACCCCCCGACATTTTTAAATAGATCACCACAATTCAGAAGATACTTTACCATCTATATCGCCAAGAGTTCCTAAAAGAGGTCGACCATAAGGTAACATTACCTTTCTATATTATTAATATAGGTACATATTTTAACTATTATTAAATGTAGGTAAAGACAAAACTGTGATTGGTGTACCTAAGAAAAGAAAACTCAAGACAAACTTACTTCCTTTTGAAAAACTTCCAGCAGRTATAAGCCAGTATGAAATATTATGTTGGTTTGTACATGACACTATTGCTAAATCTGCTGTATATCAAAATAAAATAATAGATGAAGAAGATGTTGAAACTATACCTGAAAAGGTTTCAAATGCAGTTTTAGATAAGGCAATAGCAAGCAATGAAAGTGGTTCCACTTTATTTGTGTTAATGTAAACCCTAATTTAAAAAAAAATATGGTTTTGCAAATTTTGCAAAACAAAACAAATTTAATCAAGTTTTATACTATACTACATTTAGACCATGCATTTTAAACTATTTTATTGATTTATTTACTTACTTTAATATTATTATATACTGACGACTGACTTGAATTATTAAAATTAATCTATATTCTGTATGACTGTATTATAATTTAAATTTTAAATATTTCTTATCAATATTACGACCAATCACAGGGCAGGACGTGAAAACAAATAATTTCACGTCGGACGTGAAAATAACCACTACGTTAATATTATTATAGTTTTACTTGATTCTCGATTGATTAATTTCAATTTAAAATGGAAAATATTTAATAAAACATAGTAATTAAAACTAAAAGCAAGGATATTGTATCCAAGCATATTTATTCTTGAACCTATATACTTCTTTGAATAAGATTCCGTTACTATTACATAGTTGAATATTATATAATTGTCATTTAATTGCAATCATATTGGGTACTTTATCCCTATGAAGTACTTAATTGTACATCAATCATCAATGGTAGATGTATTTAGACTATAAATTTTATGCTTATAATAACACTTACCTGTACCGAATCTTGGGTAGTTAATACTAAATATAAGTAACTATTTCTTAACATAGTAGGACAATAATATATAACTCCAAACTACATATATACTTATACTTAATCCGTATGAATATTGTAGATGTATATTATATTTAATAGCTCTAAACAAATAAACGCATATAAGATTATTTCTTTATTATTCATAACTAAATTAAAAGTGTCGAACATATACCTATTGTGATTCATTTTGGAATTTTCATCGATTATATTATGCCACTCAAGTACGATAATATATACATTATAAAATCACTATWGATAAAAATCAAAAATCTGACATATAAATTGATTAAAATGTAAATTAAATTAAAAATTGCAATGGCTTTTTAAACAAATTGCGTGTTATGCAATGTCGTTAGACCCWGTATAAGTTCGTCAGGATAACCAAACAATTATTTTAATAGTAATATTAAAATGTTTACAAATGTTCACATTTTTATCCTCGATATTTTTTAAAGTACCTCAAAAGAAATTTTGCATATATTCGAATATATACGTTAACGTCAGATTAGCCGATATATAAAATGTTGAGTATAATATTTTATCAGTTTGATAGAATAAAATTATTTACGTTCTACATAAGTGAAAAAGTTATCACAACCGAATTAAGATTAATAAGACAAATCTCTTTTCGACGATATTATTTCTGAAAACCAAAAGATTGCAAACAGTTATTTTTCCAAAGCTCGGCATAGTTTAATAAATGTTTTGCTACTTGGCTCAGTAATGTTTATCACATTTATACTCGAAAATAAATTAAATTCTATTTGGCACAGGCATACCCAGGATATTTCAATGTAAATCAGTGTTAAACACTTAAACATAGTAAACCAGAATTTGATATCCGTAACCATAATAACCTCTAAGAATAAATAATAATTGATATTGATAATATTCAAAATGTTTCTTTAATATCGTTTACAGAAATATTATGGTCTGTACTTTGCTTTTATTATATAAGATTTTACCATAACACATCAAATTGGAAATGGGGCGGAAGCTGCCTCCCTGGGTACTCCACTGTAGTTCAGTTTGTTTTCTTATTTAAACGTTTCAAATATATTATTTTCAAAATCAATAATAGAAASAGAGTATCCATAAARTTTATACAAGTTGTCAATACTTATACTAGTTTATTTTGAGCTATTTTGAGCTTTTGGTATGGTGTAATGTAGTTGCTCTAATTTAGCCAAARCCCATGTTTATGCATATGACAGCTGTTATATTCAATACTTAGAAAAATGGTAAGTATTGAATAGATACTTGAATGAATCTTTAGCRAAAATATTATGTTATTAAACTATAAATATTAAGGAATTCCACGATTATTCTGTATTTACGATAAAAATTGTCAAAATCGAAATGAAATTGTCATAAAAGTGTCCGGTATTTAGGGGTTTTTCTGTATAAAAGTAGTGAAAATGGCCCTGTTCCCAAAAAAATGTCCACTATTTATAGGTTCCGTTAAAAGARGTATCAATGTAATTCATATTRTTGTATATAAAAWAAAAATTAGAACTGAAGGTTAATATTTTACCTATTTTCTTACCTTAGTCAGTGGTATACTAAAACTTGAATTTAGGGAGGGGGTGARTTATTGGTTATAATTGATAAAAAAAGATTAATTTCTAAGAAAGTAAATTCTTCAGGATACAGAGGGGATAGTAAACCATTTACCCACRAGGTTACGCTACTCTCTGTCATGAAGTACTTTACTTCAATTATTAAAAGTTAATTTGCACAACATAATAAAAAAAAATTAACATTGATTTACAATGTTTGATATAATTCATTAATAAATTTGATTTTTTAGATTTTAGTTAAATTAAAAATAAATTATGAAATAAGTAGGTTTATAACAAGTGCATAATGTATGGAAACATAATAAATCCAAGATAAAAATAGAATCTATAGTTAAATATAATTTTACAAGCATTTTGTAATAATAATGTTGTTTTGAAATATGAAAAAATAAAAATAATTAATGTAATATATTATAATATATACTTAATAAGACAACATAAAATATTATACTCAATTGTCAAGATAATTTAATATTTAAAAATATGTATAAACAAAATATATATTATTYTTTATTATTTAAATTAATAAATAGCATTAATATTTTAGTTGTGTTGACATATTTTGAAAAAAAACCTCTTCAAGATTATCATAAGCATTTAGATACAATGCTTAAAATAAAGTTTGAAAGGAAAAAAATAGTATCAATTTCATGTAAAAGCCAGAAAAACTTATTTTCATTTGATAAATAAAATAAATCCAAAAATAAAAATGACACTTTTATGATTTTACTAGTTTTAGTAAAAATTTGAGATCAATTTAGGGTAGTAATAAATGACTTCTAAAAAAAGATAAAAATAATAATGTAAATATACGATGAACATAATACATAAGAAAATGTATCATCAAAAATAAGAATACTGTTCAAGTAAACSAGCCATATCCATATAGATTCAGCTTATAGAAACCAATATGTTTCTAATCATATTAATTCAAAATKACATGGATTGCAATTTTGAGCTAAGACTTCTAATGAAATTTAAGGCCGATTAAAAAAAAAAAGTTCACTTTTATGTTTATATATTAAATATAAACATTAGGAACTTAACTTAATATATTATGTCACAAGCTTCAATGTAATGGATCAAATGTCTAAAGAGAAATTATTCTCATCTAAGATTAAATTACCATAATATTAATTTTTTTTATCAATTATTTGCTTACAAAAAGCAATATTTTTATACTATGAAATATTCTTGACAAAAAAAAAAAAAACTACTTAAGTAAATCTATTTCTTCTTCTGTTATTACATCAAAGTCACTTAATGTGCTTGATGACAGAGATATAACATCCATTTCTCGCTCTTTAGCTTCTTCACCTTGTTCAACTGTTGTAGAGTTACAAAATTCTTCATTTTCAATAGTATCTATAAAAAAATGAAAAAATAAAACTATTTGCATTGTTAAATTAAATAGTATATAATTTACTTTCATTAACTGCTTCTGAAAGGTCCAGAAAAGATTTATCAATTTTGAACTCATTGGTAATAGATATATCTTCATATGCAGTTTCCAAATCAGGTATGTCATCTTTAAAGTAAAAATAATAAGTGAGTGGATGTCGCT